CCCCGGGCCCGGAAATGACGTCATCGGGCCGCCCCGCGCCCCCCTCTCCCCACCCTCCGGGGGTCCCGCCGCACTCCACTCCACCCTCGGCCTCGCCCCTCGTGCCTCCGGTCCCCGCGGCTCACCGCCTGTGAGTCAGTCCAGGGGGCAGGCACCTGGCTTCCGGGCGCACGGGGACTCCACCACTCGACGCCCCCCCGCTTGCTGTGTGTCCTCGGGCAGGCACTGCGCGTCTCTGGGCCTCGGGCTACTGCAGCGCGCGCGCGCCGAGGGCCCTGCCGATCCGGCACAGCACCGGTCTGCCCCGCAGGCTTCCCCCATCTCCTCCACAGGGGAGGTGTGCTCACCGTTAGGGCTCCCCAAATATCTAGGAGGCCCTAGAGGGGTTTCCGACCCGTCTAAGGCCTCTTTCTGGCAACCCAGTTTTGTGCCTTCCCGGTTTGTAACTGTACCGTATATGTACTTATTTGAATAATATTTAGTCTCCATTGCTTTCACAGTGCTCCGCACGGCACTGGCACAGAGGAAACACAATAGATAATTGTTGAATATTCTGAGTGGACGGTTAACCCACGCGGGGGGGAATCCCGGGCTCTGGCTGCTGTTGGGCAGCTCTCATGGGGGATGGTGGTGAGGGAAAAGTGGGGGACAGTTCTTGATCTCAAACCAAAATAGGTGTCCTTGTAACTTCTGCTCGTTGGCTCTAGTCAGCCTCTTAGGTCCACCTTCTTGCCGCGATAACCCATCGTGTATTTGAGAACAGCTCTCACCTCTTCTTGAGTGTTTTCTAAACCTGTGTTTTGTGTGCAAGGCTGGTTCCCCGGTTTGTTTCCCTCTGCCCTGGGGCTCTCCTGCTCGGCCACGTTGCTACTCTCAACCAGGGATCACATCAGAAATCCTTTGCCACCTGACTCCAATGTCATAGTGAACCTGGCGTCTGAGTTACTGTCTGGCATTGGCTGGAAGTGTCCAGAGCCCCTCCTTCCTGGGACCCCCCATCTCCTGCTGCTGCCTCCTGCCTCCTGCCTCCTGCCCCACACTGCGCCCACTCAGCCCCTAAAAAAGAACCTGGCAGGAGCTCAGAGGAGATGAAGTGGTCTTGTTCATGCATTTATTCATCTCTTCAACTATTTGTTAAGCACCTACTATGTGCTTAGAATGCCTTAGAACAGCAGCCAGCTCCTCTAGGTGCTGAGGATACAGCATGAACAAAACAGACAGAAGCCCGGCCCTTACGGAGTTTACAGAAGACAGACAGTAAAGAAATAAAATGCACAGCATGTCAGGTGAAGGAGACAAGTGCTAGGGACAGAAATGAAGAGGGGAAGGGGTGCTATACGTTAAACATAACGAGGGTGGATCTGAGGTGGCCTCACCCGGGAGGGGATGTTTCAGCAAAGACCTGAAATTGGTGAAATAGAGGGGTTGCATGTGTCCAGGGAAGAGGGGCCCAGGTAGAAGGAACAGCAAGTGCAAATACCCGAGGGAGGAATGTACCTGGTGTGTTCAAGGAACAGTGAGGAGGTAGAATGGAAAGGCCTGGAATATATAGCTGAACAGTAACACACAGTCCATCTCAAAAAGCTTGGAAATGCACAGAAATACAGGAAAAGCACCTGTACTCACGCCACCCAGAGATAAGCAGCATCAGCAATTTTAAAATATAGAGTCCACGTAGCCTTGAGATGGCTCCCAGTGCAGGACTTCAGCTGTGCACTGAAGGATTAAGTGCCTCCGGCCCTCCTGATGTGGGTCATCCTGAATGTCCTGCACCGATCTGCATCATAAAGATTTATCTATGTCAGGAGTATACTGGTCCCCTACCATCTATTGCGTGCCACAATTTGTAACACGCAGGCAAGTTTCCTAGTTTTTTGCTGTTGTTATAAGGAACAGTCTTGTATACAAACCTCTAGCATTTGCAATGACTGCACTTAGTAGTAGGTGAACTCCTTGGCCCAAGAACATGGTCGTTCTTAAGGCGCTTGGATGTGCACTGCCCAGCTGCCATGAGGAAAGTCGAACCACTTCCAAGGGGAGTGGGCTTTTCCCATGGAAACCTTCAGAGCCACTGCCACCCCCCCAGGAGCACCCTTCTTCAGGAGCCTGACCCAGTTTGTCATGAAATTGAGCACAATCAACCAGCAAAAATGTCCCAAACTGGCCTTTACAAGGGAAAATGCCACTAACTAGCGTTTGCGTTGTGCTTCATAACTCTTCAAAACGGTCCATCGCCGATGCCTTAAGCTCCCCTGGGCCTAAATGAGAGAGGGATTTTGATTCTCCTTTGCAGGTTTGGAAACTGCAGAGAGACCCGGGATGGGGAAGTGGGCACCCAGGGCGCCATGTGGCAAGTGAAGGGGAAAGTTGGACCTAGAGCTTGCTCTGCCCAAATGCCCCATGTTTCCTGTGCCCTCCTGACTTCTCACTGCCGTTCCCTCTCCCCGGAAGGCCTCCCATTCCCACCCCGCTCCCTCCCCAGTGGCCTGGCACGCAGGCTTCCATACCTTTTAAGACCTGAGGTAATTGCTTCCTTTTCTTGCCTCCACACACTTACTTGAGCATTTATCACAGAAGGTTGAAAATATTTGCCCTTAGGTCCTGGCCGGGTAGACCAGTTGGTTAGAGTATTGTCCCCAGATGCCAAGGTTGCAGGTTTGATCCCCAGTTGGGGCACATATAGGAAGCTACCAGTGATCCACAGATAAGTGAAACAACAGGTCGGTGTTTCTCTCTCTCTCATCCCTTCCTCTCTCTCTCTCTCAAATTAATAAATACATAAAAAGAAATATTTGCATTTATCTCATTACACTATGAGCTCCTTGGTGTTTGGCCTGCCTCCTACCATCTTGGGAGTTTGGTTCCTAGCACAGTGGTTGGCACAGAAGAAGGCAGAAACTCACATCCCTTGATGCCATCTTTGAGCTTTGGGCTGGACCGGTTAGGTAGGAATAAGCTTCTGGAACAAAAGACCCTAAAATACGGTGGGATAAGATGGGTCTTATTTCTCTGTCGCACAGCAGCCCCGAAGTGAACAGTGAGACTCACTCATGGGGTGACTCAACATGAGCTGTCCACCTTTGGCACCAAGGCAGCTACTCTAGTTGCCACCACCTATCAGTCATCACATAGGGACAAAGGTAGATGGAGGCCAAGCAGCTTCTTTGTAAGGATACGATGCAGAACTTGCATGTGTCCCTTCTCCCGCTGGCTAGAAGTCAGTCACAGGGACACTTAGCTGTAAGGGAGGCAGGGCAGCCACTGGGGGTGGTTCTGATGACTAAAGGAAGGTGATTCCGGAGGTCAATGAACGTTCCCTTCTACACGCCCCATGGTGATGGTGACATTAACTAACTCTTGTGGAAAACTTACTGGGAAGCCGGCACTGTTCCAGAGTTTACATCAGTCCTAAGAGAGGAGCCATCATTAAACTTGTTTACAGGGGGAGTTCAGCAAGGGAATTAAGCCCAGGTACCCGGAGGCATTCATCATATATAATGAATTCATGTCTCTTGCATGCATCTAGAATGGTGCTAATTATGCACCATCCTTGGGAGAATTGATGAAATTGTCTCTCAAATAATCCGTGTTGTGTGGGTCTGATGAGGAACCATGTATGGAGCTGTTGATGGGCACCTTGCAAGGAGCCAGGCGCTCGGTTTGAGTCTTGTCTTTGTTTGGGTTCCCCAAGAGCAGACACCAAGACAAGGATTTGGGCATGTTGATGGGTGAGTCACCACTGAGGGCAGCAGGGGCTCCACCTGGCTGGGGCTCACTGAGAAACTTCATTGAACACTCCTCAGAATGGTCCCACTGGGGCGGGGAAGCTGCGTACTTACCCTCCATTCCTTTCCCTCATTGGGGGTCTAGCCTGGAGGCTTGGTTTACCAGCACTCTGCTCTGCTCTGGGAAAGGGCCGAGCTAATGCCCACTGCCAGAGAACACCCTCGGCAGAGAACACTGGACGCTGTTGGTGTGATGGGAACTGTCTACAGGTAACTTCCCAGGTGCCCCAAGGGGGAGTAGGTGGGACACTGACATCTGCTACAGGGCTGTATGTGTGTTATTTTATTTCATGTTTACAATAAACCTGTGGCTAAGTTGTCAACATTTCTGTTTCTCATGTGCAGAAGCCAAAGCTCAGAGAGATGGAGTAACTCTTCCAATGTCACACAGCTGGAAAATGGTGGAGTCTGGGGACCAGCCATCAGTCTCGTGTCACTCCACACTCCCCTTCCCAAGCCCTAAGCCCTCTATCAGCCTAATGTTTTAACTGGTCCCCATCAGCACCCCCCATCAAAAACTCCTGCCTTCAGGATTTTGGGGGGCTTCTCAGTTTTTGAGAATGACAGCTGATGCTTTTTCCAAACTTAGGTGGATGAAGCGTGGAGAAAGGCTATTTTTATGACTCTAAGTCTACACCTGCAATCTCCGTCAAAGCCACAGCCTTGCTTTGTGATGCAAGAACTTTGGACAAGTTCTCAAGCCCTCATTTCTTTTCAGGTTGCTGCCCCTAAACTCCTCTTATCTTGACATCTGGACCTGCCCCTGGTTATAACATGTACCTCTTATTTGGTGCACATGGTCAGGTCCTTGTTTTCTTCCCCCAGACAAATTTTCTAACTGTGAATCACTCCTACTGAAACGCAAAGGCCTGGGAAAGAAAGACAAGGTGTGGCTAACTCTGCATTAGTTATGCAGTAAGAGGGAATTAGACAGGAGTATGGTCTGCTCTGAAGATGGGCTTAGCTGACGGTTTGATTTTATTTTTATTTATTTTAAGATTTTGAAAACTGATTTTTAGCCCTGACCGGCNCAGTGGTTAGAGTGTTGGCCTGCAGACTGAAGGGTCCTGGGTTCAATTCCTGCCAAGGGCATGTACCTGGAGCGCAGGCTCTATCCCCANATTTTATTTTTATTTATTTTAAGATTTTGAAAACTGATTTTTAGCCCTGACCGGCTTGGCTCAGTGGTTAGAGTGTTGGCCTGCAGACTGAAGGGTCCTGGGTTCAATTCCTGCCAAGGGTATGTACCTGGAGCACAGGCTCTATCCCCAGCCCCGGTTAGGGCGTGTGCCAGAGGCAAGCGATCGATGTGTCTCCCTCACATTGATGTCCCTCTCTCTCTCTCTCTCTCCCACTCCCACTCTCTCTGAAAAAAAGCAATCCTCAGGTGAAGATTTAAAAAAAATTTTTTTTAAATTGAGTTTTAGAGAGAGGAAGGGAAAGAGAAACGTTGATGTGAGAGCAAAACATCAGTGGGCTGCCTCCTGCATGCCCCCTATGAGCCCACAACCCAGGCATGTGCCCCAACCAGGAATC